TCACTCTCTAAGGCCATGATGAGAGGCTCATATAAGCAGCTCATCAGCAGCCTGTTTGCCCATATGTGCCTCACACCCCTTAGTCCCCAGTGAGTCCTGGCTCTGTGCAATGAAACCATCTCATCTGCCAACATGGACAACTTGAAGGAAAAAAACAATCCCTCTTCTACTTGGGCAATTTTGCCCTTAAATGGCTAATGTTATACTCTGCATAGATAATGAAGTCAGTCCACCAAGTCAAGGGCCCACTCCAGAGCTGGCCAGCAGAAACAGAAGAAATATAAAAGGTGCACATAGGGGTGGGCGGTATAAACGGTATACGGTAGAAACGATATAAATTTGGCCAACAGTATACCGCTCTACCACGATAGCGCATGTTGATGGTGTCATTAAGCTGCGCCTGTTTTGGTCGAAAGCATTGCAGCGGCTACAAACAACATCATCTGCAAATTATGCTGGGCGACAGTAATAACAAAGAGACGAAGCACTTTTGGAAAATGAGGAAAGCCGAACCCTGAGCTTCCTCCACTTCCCTACCCCTCATCAAAGCATGTGCTAGATTTCGATGTCTCATTATGGAAATTTGTGAGTTTTTTTGTTTTTGTTTTTGTTTTTTTCATTAATGCTGAATTCTCTCGCAGCTGCTCTATTCCCATGCTGTTGCAGTATATTAATGACTAACCTTGTATTGTGGATGGATTATCTCAGTTGTTTTCCTGACTGAAGTTTGGTCCGTTTACAGCATCCTGCCATGTGATTGCATTTGCCCCTAACCACCAGAAACTCTCACATTAACTTTCATCAAGTGGAAAAAAGTTAGCGCTCATCCTCCAGCTTCACTGTGTTAATGTTATGCTAACATAGCTGTGTAGCTAGCGATCGCGCAGCATCATTATATACCAGCTAGCCCAACTTCAGTAACCCTACAAAAGTCACTGCTGTTTAGTTTTCTGTCTTCATTTATGTTGGAAGTGATAGCAGAGCTGTACGTTTGAATTTTTCAGAAATCTCTCAGTCAGAACATGCAATATATATTTAGGTGGAAACTAGTGAGCTAACTTCTTGCTAACTTCTAACTTTGTTAAATGTAATAAATTCTGTTTTCATGGATGCCTGGATGTTAAACTTAATTGTTACACCTGGTAAGGCAGCAACGTTAATCATTTTATTAAAGAATTTAGGACCCAGATTACTCCGCGAGGCTCCTGACAGCCGTAATGCTCCGACAATCCATCAAGCGGTGCGGCTTCATAGCTTACCAAAGTCGAACTAAAACATTTTTTGACAGATTTCTGTGCGCTGTGTAGCACATAAAATCGGTTCGAGGTCAGTAAGCACAACCAGAATTCATACATAAGGCACACTGTCGATTTTTGAGAAAATGAAAGGATTTTAAGTGTGCCTTACAGTGTGTAAAATACATTATACAGAAGAAAAAAATATATCGCGATATATATCGTTACCGCACATGCTTCAAATTATACCGTGATATGGATTTTAGGCCATATTGCCCAGCCCTAGGTGCACATTCAATAAAAAATTAGTTAATGAGACAGATGCAGACTCAGGATGACAAACTGAGGCCAGTATAGAAAAGAAGGAGGCACAAATTAATTTCACATCATCAGATAATCAAATCTGATGAAACACGTCTGACTCAGGGGAGGAAAAGAAGCAGAAGAAGCAGTGATGACATATGCTATGGGAAGCAGACAGACAGGAGAGCAGGGTCCAGTGTCATATCTGCAGTGTGTCTGCAGGTCCCGCGCGGCGATGGTTCGCTTATCCCCCTGCCACCACACATATGTTTGGGACATGGAACAGTTGGATGTGGCCGAGGGCAAAAATGGGTCAGACTGACACAGATGGAGAAAAAAACTCCCACTGGGTCACTGTCAGATGACTAACACCCACAGAAAAAAAAGTGAGAATGTGTGTGTGTGTGTGTGTGTGTGTGTGTGTGTGTGTGTGTGTGTGTGTGTTCAAGTGAGTGATTTATTCAACTTTTGACAGATTTTAACAGCTTGCCAACAACGTTGCTCTCGAAACAAGGATGAAAAAATACTAACACAACAAGTTTTGAATTCAAATTGGGTCAGGCAGTTCTCGAGTAGCCGAGAGAAGAACATGAACTCTGCAGAAAGCGAGGGGATAGCAAGAATTCCTCGTGTTTCATTTGGCCTTTTGCCGTCTTAATGTCTCTTCCCTTCTCTGCCTGCCTTCACTTTACCTAATGTATAAACATAAACAAAAAATATGTGATCGATAACTTGACTGGGTGCCCATAATGTCATTAAAACTCAACAAGGCTCGTTGTAAACACAATGTAATTTTTTTTTCTTCTTCTTCTTTTTGGATCACTACTAACAGCCTTGGATGGAAGAAGAGCTGACATTTGGGATAAACTGAAACATTTGGGTTTTTGCCACGAGGTGTTCAGCGCAAGAAAAATCAATTGAGAGTTCAGGAAATCCCCCAAACCTTTCTGGAATGATGGAGAAGAGCTGGCATTAAATGCAGCTCAGCTATGAAACAGCAGACGATATGATTTGTGACAAGAGTTTAAAAAAAACTACAGAGCTTTAAACAAATTAACATCAGGGAATACTGTCTATTGGCTTTATGATCACATCTCCCAAAGATTTTATCGAAAATTCTTCTTCCATTTGGAGGTAATCTTCCTAACCTTTGCCATCAATCCATGATGTCACAGCTGAAATGAATTCAAAAAACCTCAGATAAATGCCCTCAGTTGTCAAAACCTCCATTAGAACTGGAATGTAAGGCGGTAATTGTAGAGTTGAAAGGTCCATTTGTTCATTATCAAAATGGTAGTGAGATTCCTTTCAGAGTAATCCTTGGCTTTTCGATTTGCCTATTCAACGCTATTTCCCAACACAATAAGACATGCTGATGCCGCTGTATGAAGATCCCTAAGCTCAAATTCCTATGTCCTTCAGAAAGCTGTGTCGCTGCCTCTTAAATGTGTCTTTTTCTCAATTTGGTTTTTCTTATTTTGAAGCTTTCAAATCTGTTTTTGTCAAGCAAAAGCTTCCAGTTGCATCTGCTTCTTCTATCACAAGCCTTTAACTTTCCCTTAAAGTGAACCGCACCATCGCGCAAGGACACCCATGTCCCTTTGCGCAAGACACAAGCAACGTCGTCAACCGTGCATTAGCATGTGGGTGGCATGTGCTCCGTGAGGCAGTCATATGTTTACATCCAATCTCTTGGATGAAAGTCAAGTTTGCAGCTGCAGCCTCGGAATAATTCATCGCTCGCCTTTTTTACCCAGGAGGAGCCACAGGTAGTTGATGAAGTGGCAGTGCCAAGACTCCCAACTGGCGAAGACGAAGCGCAGCTGCCAGGAGTCAGCGTGGCCAGATGCCGCTGCTGATGTACCATGTGTTCCAAGCAGGGCAACAGTGTGTTTGTGTGTGAGCTGGGGTGGGAGGGGAAAGAACGGCACGCTTGCCAAGACATTCTCACATTGATGCCAACCTGACACATGCCTGGGTACTCCCCACGGTTTGTGTTACCATCTCAGCCACTCTCACAGATCTGTGGGGGGTCCCCTCTTTTCTCTTTTCCTCTGATGCCGTCCCTTGCCAAGATGAGAGTTGGCGCCTGCTTGCGGCCATCCTGCCCATCAGTGGCGAAATCCTTTAAGGTGTTCTTTTTTGAATGGCGCGCTGGCAGGAGGCCACCACAGCAGAATGCCAGCCTCTGCTTACTATATACTGCATCTAACCCTCGTTTTTCGCAATGTAGCCAAAACCGTAACTCCTTGCGATAGCCGTGTCTCGTCCTTACATGACAAGCGTGTCTTTATTATCCTCCCCTGTTCATCCATCCCTGCATGTCACAAGTAGCTGTAAATAAATCTCTGGCTCAGATTCCCGTCCCCACATAACGCACGTCGAAGACATGGCCAACTTCCAGGAAACAAATCCAAAAACACGGGTCTTCTGCGCCTTATTTCGTTACATCAGAGATGACATTCGGTCATTTTTGAGTTGAATCCTTCGAAAATCTGGCAGCGCCATCTGCGTCAGAAAAACACTGAAGACTCCAAATTCCCTACAAATAAAGGATTCTCTGGAAATTACATAGTTGCTGGGGTAGCATAGCATTCCCTTCAATAGCATTTTCCCTGCGAATGGGAACGAGTGGTCTTTGCCACTATTCCTGAGAGTGGAGGGGAGCACTGAGAAACAAAGGCTCCAGTTTTTAGGAACATGCCATCCTCGTTTGCAGTGTAGGGGGTTTGGGGAGGGAAGTGAAAACTTTTTGAACGTGTGCCATGTCTGTACCATTCTCTTATCTGAGGCCCGCGACTGCCAGCTGGCGGCTGAATGTGCCCACTTGCACTGTGATGATGAAGCCAGCCAAGCTAGTTGGCACACTGCGTGGTGGGACTGGCACGTGATCTAAAACACAGCACTGTGTGGAGCGGCTGCGTATACGTCCCGCTCTCCCCTCCCGTGTCCTCCTCTCTGGCGAGCAGCTTCTCCACTGGATCTGCAGGTCCTCAGTAAAGTGGGTGGAGGTTATGCCAACAACTGCCAAGCTGAGTTAATAACCACGGGATGACAGAAAAACACAGCTCATGCTAGTTTGTTTATAATTAAGGATTTAGTTATCTGAAACTATCTTTTTGTTGGCCTGATATTTAACTCATTTCTTATTATTGTTTTGCCCCTTTAATCATCAAAATAGGAAAATTAATTGAGTTTTAAAGCAGCAGTACAGTGATAGGCAGAGACAAGATCATAGGTTTTGCGTTGCTATATCCAGACATGCTTTGAATGTGTGATTGTCATTTTATTTTATGTAAGTTTTTATTTTGTAGACTAATAAAGTAAGATCATTAAAAATCATTTAAAACATTGTTCAAGGGTTATTAAAGCTGCGTATTTAAAGTGTCAACCACCCTGCAGAAACTGGCTTTGTGCTGTGTACTTACGAGACGGGAACTGTTTAAACCACTATTGTTTCAAACCGGACGCTTAATGTTGTGGCACTGTCCTTCACTCCAAGAAATGCCGACTATTATTGTAGGTAAGGTGAAAGTGAAATAGTTAACAGAGAAAGGTGTAGACAGTGAAACTGGGTGTTATTTTACGAGATATCGTTGTGTTTGTAGCCGTCAAACGCGGAGGTGTACCGTTCATGTCATGGCTGATGTCCGGTCACCTGTCCTCGCTGAATAAAGTGAAAGTCAGAGACGGTCAGAGTCACCTGGACTGAACACAGTGGCGTTAAGATGAAGAGGTTATTTCGGTCGGTGGTCATCCTCGTCATCGTCCGTCCTCCTGTAACTTCACGGTGTTGCTGTTTAAAGCTGTTTAAGTCGACAAGTGACTGGATGATGTTAATGCTATTAAAGAGTCACGATGTTGTTAATCATTGATTAAAATAATAATTTACAATAATAATTTACAATAATAGCGCAATATATGTTAAGTAACTACTATAACAGTGAAAGCTTAATTGACCGATTTTTAGAATTTTAGAAAAATCCCCAGCCTGGAGAAGTCATTTCTGTTGAAGTCAGGGGCATTTTCAAGCTTTTTCTTTCTATCAGTTGGAGCCATTTCAAATAGATGCATCTAGAGAATTCCTTGAGTAATTTTAAGTATTCGGGTAAATATCCGCTACTGTGACGGGAAATCTGTAGCAAAGGTCAATATAAAACACCCAGGCCTTGAAATTGGGAACACTGATTTCCACATATGAGGTGTACTCTGTACCATGAAACTATTCAAATCATAATTTCTTGAAGATCAAATCAAAATCAGTTCTTTATGCTAATATGTCATTATTGTTGATGCATTCTCAACCATAGTTTTATAGAAAAAAATATTTTTATTTTTAATTCCAGTTGTAGTTGTTATTTATTTGCATTCCTTAAAAGAAAAAAGTCGTTTTAGTGTGTGAATGTTCCATAATTTCTCTGACTTGGCTCATAGGAAAACATGAATTGGTTTTGTATTGCCTGTTTAATAATAATATATTTTTCGTCATGTTTTCTTGTTTTTATGACAAAAAAAACAAGTTATTGTGATATTCCAAAAATATAAAACCACCTAAAAAAATCTAGAAAGGCTTTTGTCTTGTAGTCTAAAACTTGTGGTGGTGTTCAGCCCCCCTTCCCATAAATAATTTTTAGAAAGAGTCATATGTTTAGTTTAACATTAGTTTAATTCATATGTTCAGGCAGCATTCATGATCCCAGAGTGTATATTCTTGTAGTTTAAAGTATTTGGTCAGCTGACATGGATTGACCCATAAACCATTAACTATATAGAGTACAAAGGTTAATGTTCATTGTGTGTTTGTCTCAGACTGCTGTGTGAATGAGATTGATCCTTTATGAGTTATATTTTTTGCATTGCCACCACCCTTTCTTGGATGTTATAGTCCCTGCTGTTACTGCTCTACCATGTGGTGAAGCAACCTGTCAGAAAGCTCTGAGTGGTGTCCCAGTACAAGTCCCTGAGGATTAAAGGCCTCAGGTCAAAAGTCATTCAGAGCTTTTTTATAAGAGTGGTTGTGTTACTAGCCTCAGGTATTTGAAATTGCCCAGCATCTGCGGTTTCACAGCGTGTTTTTCAGGACTCTACTTATTTTGAAATAATACATTCAAAAATGTATCTCACAAAATGGGTCAAAACTTCTCAGTTAAAGCATTTTTTTATTTATTCACAACATTTTACACGTCAAACCAACACCATTTGAAACTGTCTGATAGTGTCTGAGGCTGATGTCACAGTCACAGTTCTTGCACGCTGCAATATTAAATAGCATTGTCTATGCTTAGATACTAAGGTTGCAGACACACTATCTAACACAGTGTGCTTGTTTACTGTAAATACCAGGCTGATAAGAAATCTCAGTGCAGCCAGTGTAAAAATGCCACGTTAAAATGTCAACCAACACAGTGAAAGAAGGCCCGTTTCTCTGACAACAACCGATCCAACTGCCTAATTAATGATCTGAAGAAAATGTCGATGTCTCACTAAAAATTTCATTATCATCATTCACGGGTTCAATTTCTTATACTCTGGTGACAGATGTGCTAAAGTCCTGTGTGTTTTTTGAGTGATGCCACGTGGTCTCACTCCCTTTCTTCCTCTATCCCAGATGTGTTCTGCTACCAAACTTTGGCACTGAGTGAAACGGTGCTCAGTAGTACTGATGTAATTCAGCCAGTGACTGTCTGTATCTCTGAGTGATTCCTGTAATTATTTTGGAAATAATATATGAAAAATTCAAACACTGGTGGAACCAGATCATCTTCTTTGTTGCTTAATTAAACAGTTATTTATTTTATCAAGCTGACCACATCAGTGCGCTTGTTTTGTATTCGTAACCATCAACCAGCAGATCTACAAAAACCCAAAACTAGTGGTTAATCAGATGGTTAATTGTCACAGAAAGAATCCCTGGTGATCAAAGTTAATTGGCTTTATGACTTTGTGTGTTGCTTCATCAAACTAAGCGCAAATGTTTTTCACTTCAACCCACAGATATTCACTATGAGCAGATGTAAGATACTGATGATGGAGCCGTAATGAGCTTCTAACTGTGGAGCGTATAAACAACTAAAAGTCAAACATGCTGCCAGGATGTATAACCGCTACTTGCCACTATTTGAAGTGGACTTTGCCTCACTGGAAACCTGCCTTTTCCTTAACTTATTGTCCATTGGAGCCAGGGCAATGGATTTTAAGACAGGCAGGTCTGAGAAAGGCTCATCGCTGGACTACAGCACCTTCATCAAGGCTAAACCAGAAGCCGGTGTTTGCCAGAGCTCCAGTGTATGGAGAAAAGCTTGCAGTCATAGACAGCAGTGGTAGCCACAGCTACAAGCAGCTGTACTGCCGCAGTTTAGGTCTTGCAAATAGAATCGGTACAGCTCTGAACTCAGACTTTGGAGGTCTGGAAGGAAAACGCGTCTCCTTCCTGTGTGCTAATGATGCCTCCTATACAGTAGCACAGTGGGCCACTTGGATGAGTGGTGGGACGGCGGTGCCACTCTACCGAAAACACCCACCGGCAGAACTGGAGTACATCATTTCTGATTCCCAGACTTCGCTGCTGCTGGCAGCGGACCCCTACACTGAAACCCTCGAACCTCTGGCACAGAAGCTCGGGCTGCCGTGTCTGAAGCTGCCCCCTACTTCTGACCTGGATGCTTTATGTGAGGAAGACGCACAGGAGAAGGAGACAGCCATCACAGACTGGGCTGATCTACCAGCTATGATCATCTACACCAGTGGAACAACAGGGCGACCCAAAGGGGTTCTGCATACACACGGCAGCGTCCAAGCAATGGTAAATTATGTCTATTAATTACACTGGAGCCAAAGTAAATTAAGCTATTAGCTTTTCTTTTTTTTATCATAGGGTTATGGGTCTCTTAAATTAGACCTTTTAACAGTGCATTCATGGTTTGCTGTAAGCTACAGTATGTGAATGTACAACTAAAATCAGTTTATGTCAGTTATTTATTAAATGTTTAGGTTTTATTTGTGTTCTTCTAATGTATAAGTCCTTAATAACAGTATTCAATAAAAAATAAGTCCTATCTTATTGTAAGATTTCATAATTGTTGCTTGGAAAGATTATTTTTTAAGGAATGAAGGTTTTTGCTGGATTTCTGTTTACATTTTTTTCTTTTGTAAAGTCAGTTTTATTTATACAACTGAAAATTTTAAACAAAGAAAAGGTTAATTAAGCTTCATTTATTGGGAAAAAAATAAATTTGACGGAAGGCCTGACGAATAATTTTGTTTGGCATTAAACTACAGAAGTGCATCTGTTTAAATCATTTGATGTTTTTGGCCATCAATGTGACTTCATAGAAAATTAAAGTTCCTGTGAGGGGGGGAGACGTGAAGGTAAATTTCTGTTTACGTTATTTTGTACAGGCAACCATTTTCAGTGTTCTACATGCATGTTGGTGATGCTCATGTACACAAGTGTCAGAATTAATTTAATGATTCAGAGCAGCCATGTACGACCAGGAGACGTCTTTTGTTTTTTGCCCTGATGACATTTAGTACTCTGACACTGTTCATGATGCTCATCTCTTTAAATACCATTATGCACAATATGTTGGACACAGCGCACCTTAGTGATCGCATTCACTGCAGGCATTTTTTTTTTCCAAAAAACCTGACGTTACCTCTCAAAAACTAAAAAAACAAAAAACCAGACAGACTCACTTAATTATTCACTCACTCAGTTTTCCAGACCCACCAGATTCAAGCGAAGTTCTGCCTCCTTTTAGAGTGATTTAATTTTCCACACTGCCAGGCATGTAGGTCAGTTTCACTTAAAATTGCACAGAAAAACTTCAGGAGATCTTTAATGGCATAAATTAGTGATTATTCAGGAAGCACGGTGGGGAAAAAACGAGGGTGATGCTAATCAGGGAATATGTCTCCTGGGGGTGTCTAAACAGTTCTTTAATTTAAGAAGAAAATCATAGATACAGTTTATAGATCTGCATGTGTTAGTTTTGTGATGTTCTCACTGAGATTTGTGTCAATATAACCAATAATAGATAAGCTGAATATGAAGTTAAATGTTTTTTTACCTATATTTAAGTCCTGGTTTCACAAAGTTTAGACCTTGAAACATTTTAACAAAATTAATAAATAATAATACTTTTATTGGTGGCATAGTTTAAAAATTATGTGTGTGTATTGTTTACATGACCGTGGCCATTTCTATGTAATGCTTATATTTGAGTCACTGAAAATGGGGGACTGCATTACATTTAAAGATGAAAATCTGCACTTCAGTCTCATTTGTGGTCATCTGTGGCGATGTGAATAGACAAAAATTATAAAATTGTGTCAGTGTCAAAGAACTTATGGACCTAACTGTATATGTTGGACTTGCACTGATGTTTAAGCTACCCTTAATTAAGAGCAGCAGAGCATCGATGATAAACTTTAGAATATGTTGTTCTTTTTTGTGTTTTGTTTGCCCAGCACAGAGGGAGAAATTACTGTTGATGAGGTGTTTACAGATTTCTACACCAGCAGCCACCTCAGTGGAGTGGAGTGGGGTTAGGTTATAATGATTTTTAGTATTATTGTGCTTTTTGGCTGTAACCAGTTTCACAGGGATCTCTTGACTTTGTCGGACCTCATACGTGGACAGGTGGCAATTAGCTGGGTGCCAAAAGTTCAGCAAGTAAACAACATCACAAAAAATACAGTAAATCAGACACGTAATTATATGTTATTTTTAATAAAATGCCTTTTTAAAAGTTATTTTTCCCAATTTTAATGCAGTAAACAAAACAAATACAATAAAAGGGATCAAGATCAAGGTTGTTAAAACACAGGGATCCTGATACTCCTGCTACTAACAGCAACATGTATGCTGAGGATAAAACCTTTCATTTGAACCTCGCTGTTGTTGGTCTCCTCTCGTATAGCGCACTGTGACAATGGGGAAGAATTCAAATAAGTTACAAAAATCAATTTTGCCATCTGGAAGAGCACCAAACGACAGCTTAGGGGAGATCATTGTAACAAATGTCTGTAGCAGTGAAAGCTGACTGAGGTAATTTATTGTAAAGACAATATGACATCTTAACAACCCACTCCGTCCCACCCCTCAGGTCCAGTGTCTGGTTTCAGAATGGGCGTGGTCCAGAAATGATGTCATCCTGCACACCTTGCCTCTCCACCACGTTCATGGCGTCGTTAACAAGCTGCTGTGCCCACTCTGGGTGGGCGCCACCTGTGTCATGCTTCCCGAATTCCATCCTCAGAAGGTCAGAGATGCACTCTTCTTCTTCTTCTGTCTCTCGGCGCAGTACACAGTGTCTTTTATTATCCCCCGTGAACAAAAGTGGCTTTTTTTAGGGTTCCATCTAACTTAATCATAAGGCAAAGACAGTTTTCAGATTGAGAGGTCGTCTGCAGACAACCCTGATGGATTAAAAAAGACCATTACCTCTTTCCACATGAATCCCTCTTTCTCAGTCGGTGCTTCCCTTTCCCTTTGCTCTTTTGTTCTTGCTCCTCTCTTCTCGCTTCATCTCCTCTCCGTCTGCATCTCCCTCTCTTTCCCCCTCTCACACTGTCAAAACTAAGTGTTTGGGGCTCAGTGATGAATTGCCCTGTGTGGCTTTGTATCTGACCAATGCCGACACACGGCAGGGGCTTAAGCAGCAGATCAATCGATGAGCTGACATTGAAGGATGATAGTGCTTGTTTGGCCCTGAGAAGGGAGGGGAAGATGGGGTGCTAAGTGTGTGTATATAAGTGTAGCTGTATTGAAGTGTAAATGCACAATTTTTAATGTATGTGTGTGTGTGTGCCTTTCTGTTTTTTGCTCTCTTTGTTTGTACGTCAGGAAGTCTACCACTTCATGACACTTAAGGTGAATGAAAAAGAAACGACCTTAAAGAAAATGTGTATCTGTCAACATGGGTATTGCTAGACTAATATAGCTATCAGTATTCAACTGTTATCCCTGACCTTGTGTGCCAAACCACAAAACCCCTTCTCTCATCTTCAGAGAAAAAAAAGAGCCTTTATACTCCTCCTCCTGAAGTTACAGTACATTGATGAAGTGATCGATCGTCTTCTATCCCCTAAGATCTCTGAAGGGTACCCTAGGCAGCAGAGGCCAGCATTGATTTCTTTTTCTTCTGATTTTGCCTGGAGATAGTGTCGGGAATTTTCAGTGCAGGAATTGTGATCAAGTAAATCACAGATAAGTCTTTTTCAAGTGTACTGTATTAGACTGACGGGAGCAGATAGCGTTCCTGGGTTTCAAACAGCGTTGCTCGGATTTTTTTTCTTTTTTTAATTTATTTGATTTCTTATTGACTGCTTCATCACAGCAACTACTCAAATGTAATATTACTGTCATTGTTTTTCCTCAAGAGGGATGGCTAAGGCATCAATTTTTAAATTCTAACAGGCAAGGGCATTTTTTTAAGTAGCCTGATTGATGGGAATGCTGCTTGGAAATACTCACAACTGCCTGTTCTGTAATTCAAAGTGAAATTGACATTTTAAAAATAATGTTTCATACACCAGTTGTCTAGTTCAGACAGATAAAGCATTTTGAAAGTGTTTGACTATAAGAATCCATATGCCACTCTGTATAGCTGGTTGCTCTCTGTTACAGTCAGCCTTCTCTAGGAAGAGTCAACTATTAGGATAAGTCTTATATAAGAACTGATACTACTTATCAACGTCAATAGCAGGAACTTTTATTATCTGCTAATTCAGACACACTGGCAACCTGAACACTGATGTTTTTCACCTCTGCTTCACATGAAGCATTTACGACACCGATAATGTGACACTGCTGTCAAGGACTGTGGTAATCTGCCTACAGCTGAAGCTATTATCCACGAGGAATATAAAAAAGCTGTCTGTTTGTAGGAACCTGCAAACACTAATTAAAAACTTAGCTAACTACATAGCTGATACTACTATGTTAATGACTTGGCTATTAAAACAAGGTCTACTCCACTGTAAGGTCAGTGAAATGCTCGAACATTAAAATACGACGCAGTTGCTTCTCTAAGATCACTGCTGATGTCTTCCCACCTTGGCATTGTGTTAACACACACCTGAATGCTCCAGACCAGCAAGCTACCAAAATTTCTGCTTAATCAAGTGCATTTGATTAGCAGCATCTGGCTGCTACTTACGCTCTTAATTCCTGTGGTTTTGTAAGGCTCTGCTTAGTTTTTCACACACTGATTCTGCTGTTTGGTTTCGTTTGTTTTTTTTGTTTTTTTTTAAATGAAACAGTGGAAGATCACATATTGTTGCTCATCTGAGGTTTTATTTACCCAAATTTTAGATCCACTAAGGACCAGATTATTTTAAATGTTTTCCCAGTACGTAAAACTTTAAAACTGAAAGATGTGTTCTTTACTGAGACAGACGAGCTGAGTGAACTTACCTGACAGTTTTTAGGAATCAGCACTGCTGGCACATTGACATTCAACAATCGGGCCTTCTCGGGAAGAACTGTTTTCGGGTCTTACGTTGAGTGCAGGGCACATGAAGTTGTTTAGGATGCAGGCCATAGCTCTCGGTTCTCACCGCATCCTGTCCCCTAGGTGGAGGCCAGCTCTTTGACGGACATAAATTGCCTTCCTCTCCCACCTAGAGTGGGCTTGGTGGGAGCGCTTCACTGCACTTGATAGACACCACCCAGTATGGTCAGGGCACGCTCAGCTAATCATCCTTTTCTCTCTTCAAACTTTTATTCTGTATCTCTTCGCGTGAACCGCAGGTTACTTGCAATTTTTAGATCGGCCTGTAACGCTACTCTGGGAGACTGGATTGGGATTTGATTAAATTGTACTGTTGGCATATCTTAATCATCTTAGCTGTATTTGTCTGTGTGTTTGACTTGTGTTTTTATTAGAGCCAGAGGAAGTGATTGGAAGATAGTTTAGTAGATAATAGATTGGGTGAGTCTGTGATGTGAGGGTCACACAAAAGAGAAGTGGAAGGAAGAGTTTAGAAATTGCTGGCACATTAAGAAGGATGTGGTGTTACTTCAGGTGAGCGCAATGATGGGAGAGAGTGCATTTTTCTGTGTGTGAGTATGTGTCTAGGTGTGTATGTGTCTGAGAGAGAGAGAGACTGCAGAGGCAGTGAAGCAGGAAATTACGAAATGGAGAGAGAAGGTAAGTGAATGTGAGATAGGGGGGTGAGAGACGAGGGGGGGGGGATGAAGGGAGGATGTGGGGTCAGAGATGAAAGTAGAGTGAAAACGGAGCACTTGGAAAATAGAGGCAGAATGAATGAAGAAGAAGTGAGATCGAGTAGCCTGAGAGGAGACAGCTTGGAGGGGGGCACTGGTGGTGGGCTGTGGTGCGGGGGGAGTGACTTAGAGAAGCCGTCGTTCACCTTCATTTAATTCATGCCGTCGTCCTATCCTTCTGCCGTCTACTGCAATGTGTGAGCGTGTGTGAGGAATGAGGTTGAGTGGGCGGGGCCGGGTGTGTAAAATGACTTTGTCCTTGAACAAGTGAGTTTATGTGATTTTCATACAGTATGTTTAGATGTGCATATAGTTGGTAGTTGGCGACACATGTTTGCGTCCATTAGTGCCCGCCGCTGTTGAAGCTGAGGATGGGAGCGGCTCCTTTTGTGGCAGTCGAAAAGCACATTTGTCAAAAGTAGCTGCACACGAGGTCTTTTAATTGACCGGCAATACCGCTCCAGTCCGGGGCAGCCGGCTATTTTCTTCCTCCTGACCTTTTAGAAATCTGGGCATTTTTTGCTTGTCTTTTTCCTGCATTATGTTGACAGGTTTAATATGAGGCTGCTGTCTGGACTTTATTCTGCCATTTACATCAAATAAATGAAAAAATGTCACTTTTTTTTCCCTCTAAAACTAATGGAATGAATCTGGATTTAATAATTTAGTCTGCAATGCCCCACTGTTAGATATACTGCTTTTATTTTCCTTATCTCTCCTCCTCCTCCTTCCTTCTTCAGTTATGTGTTGTGCTTATCTCTCTCCCTCTCTCCCCCCACAGGTGTGGGAGATGCTGTTGAGCTCCAAGGCTCCCATGGTTAATGTGTTCATGGCCGTGCCAACTATTTACTCTAAGCTGATCCAGTACTATGATCAGCACTTCACACAGCCTCATGTGAAGGACTTTGTCAAAGCATTGTGCAAAGAGAGAATAAGGTACTGGTTGTGGAATCTGTGCCACAAGATTTTACTCACAAGTAGCTGGTTTAATGCAGGGTTTTTATGCAGTGTTTCCTAAATGTCCTTTTCACAGGGATGTATAGAGCTTAATTAAAGTTAATATTAATGCATTTTGTCATCAGTTGGGAGATTATCATCTTTTTTAATCACCCAATAGTTGGATGCTTTAGGCAATTTAAAGAGGAAATTTAATGTTGCTATGGAGTTTGTTCATTTTGGGCTCTTCATCATTCCTGTTAGTATTTATGTATGTGCAGACAGCCGTGTCCAGATGACTTTGATGGAGAGTATTTTTGGTGAAACTCCTTCAACTTGAAGCCTTGACTTTACCTGACAGAGCAGGATATGACAGCACAAACGTTTGAGTTTGGCTGTAAGCCAGTCTCTGGGCTCCAAACATCTGTATGTTAGTAGCTCAGCTAACTGACAGATGCGTTAGTGATTAGCAATTGGGCCCATTGACCATCACCCTATCCTGGCAGTGTTTTCGGTTCACATTCAAAGAAGACAAAAAAGCAAAATTGGAAAATAAAGTTCATTTGTGAGACAAATTGAAGTTTTACAGTGCTTCAACTACCTCAGCAAGTTCTGTGTAACAATGACTGATGCAGCTGCAGCTGTTGACCGCGGAGGTGTCTAAACCTGATCTATGCATCAAACCACAGTTAACAATTTCAGCTGCTTTTGGAGCAACAACATGTACCTGTCCAACTCACCTCTCTTGCCATCTTTGCTCCTTTTACCGAGCTGAAAACCACATGAAGGTGTGGTTGACGTGCGTGTCAGACTGCGCTCCTCCCCAGAAGTGTTGAAGTGTTCAAACCTGAAGCAAAGTCAGTCCCAAGAAGCATTAAGCCTGTTTTTAAAAGTTTATTTTGGCCCTGAGACACTTGTAGTTCTTTTCATTTGTAATTTGTTTGTCACCTTTCTGTGTGTATGCACTCGTGACATGCATTATTATTACATTATTATGTTTTCTTGCTACTTGATAACCTTTTGACCTTTGTGGATGGTGTATTAATGTCACACCACATTTCCAGTACATGTTTTGCTTCTTAATAATTTTCACTGCCACAGTTTCTTTTACAAGTGTGTGTGGCATCTGTGTTTTTATTTTGCTTCCTTTGTGCTGCCAATCATCTCTCCCATGCTGCATTCTGTATATTTTTCATAAACAGTCTGCAGTTTATAGAATACTGTAAGGCACAACCCTATGCTTACTGACTCTCACAAATCAAGTCCTTGGAGATGTGTAAGAAGATGCACAAAAATTGATGTTTCTAATTAGCAAACAATTAGATCATTTACATGTTTCACACAGGTTTTTCAGGCAAAATATAAACTGCAGATGTGTTTTTTGGCGTGTGTCCCTCATGCCCGTCCCTTTCTCTCCAGGCTGATGGTTTCAGGCTCGGCTGCTCTCCCGCTTCCCACTCTGCAGCGCTGGGAGGAGATTACCGGGCACACACTCCTCGAACGCTACGGCATGACTGAGATCGGCATGGCGCTGTCCAACCCTCTCAAGGGCCCACGCGTCCCAGGTTGAACTAAGTGGATGCACTTGTACTCTCACACCTTACACACATATGAGTAAAGAAAGAATATTTTTTTTACATGTGTATGTGTGTTACTTATCTTAAAAAGGGAAGTCATGGGATCATTAGTTAACTTTCCGGCAAAGTATTTCACAAACAAGTCAGCAACTCGCTGCACGTTGCTTAACTTTGCACCACTATCTTCTTATCTGCCACGTGTCACTGTTGCAGAGTCCTGTAAACAATGGTTGGAGCCACTCAGCTAGATAAACTTGCATTACACAATTTTAGCTTCATCCAAAAATCTGTATTCTCAATTATCTTCTAAAAACCTGTCTAGAATGTCAAAGTCAGTACCGGACACATGTATAGTTTGGGCGCCAGCTGCGTATGTTTTTTTTTTTTTTCAAACTCCTTTATCCCTTTGCATAATGATAAAGTTGTGAAACCTCAGGTGTCAAAATACTAACTTGATAATAAAATGCATGTCTTGGTGCTCTTCCAAGCAGAATATGGTCAGGTTACAAACCAGCTGCTGAAGCAATGGCAGGAAATGAGGCCATACAGATAACCTCTTAAAGATCGGTTTGGCATCTGATTATCAGCATTTTTCTTGAAAACCCTCAATGACAAACCAATGGCAGCGTTTTCTGCTCTCTTTTTAAATCAGGCCAACCCTCGATCAGTTTGTTATTTGGTGCATTTATCTTTTGGTGCCAAATACTGAAATACTGCACAGCACAACTAGCCAAGCATACTGCCATCAGTGTGTCTGTCAGTCACAGTTTCATTGATGATGAATATTTGATTGGTTGGCAGTCAACCAAGGTTGCCTTTGTGACTGTGGATGTTGTTCTCTTCTAAAACGAATGTCTCAGATTTGTAGGAAAGAGGGTAATTATCTTTTTTTCCCTGTGTGTAGTAATTAAGCTCTACATTGAGTTGACATTGCTGTTTACAATTTGGTAACGTATGATTATCAATCAACAAACTTGCAATCACTGATTTCTGCCACTCTATGTTAAAAGTATACACATATATATTAGAAATCTGTATCCTGGAAAAATAGAAAGGCAGTGTGGTTTAACAGAACGACATAAAATAATAATAATTTAAAAAGCAAACCTTGCTTAATTGAGCCAGTGTTCCCGGTTTATACTACACTTTGAAAATGCTCTCAAAAATTTTGTTCTACTTCACATATAATCCAAAAACCTCTGATGTTGCTCGACCCTCCCTCATCAGTTTGAGTGAGTACTTCAACTTCACGCGTTGTGCTTTAATCAAAGGTAGTTGTCTCTGGCGTGATGTCAGGTAAAACCCCATGATCCCAACTACACCTCCCTCACACACGCAAAAACAAAAGCAAGGTCTGGAAATGAGGTCAGAGTAGTGGCGGTTGCCATCTTCTCCTGTCATCCCCTCTTCCTCTGTCTCTCTCTCTCTCTCTTTCCCTCTCTTTCTCTTCCACCGTCTTCTTCCTTTCCTGTTCCCCAGACAACACTTCCTCTTACAGGTAGAGCTAATTAGCTTGCAAGTGGATTTGGTAATCCTCTGCCTGCCTGTTTTGTCAGGGTATTGTTTTGTTTGTTGCTCACTGAATGTTTGGCATGAACCGAGCAGGCTGCGTTCGACTCCTCTCAGGTGATTATTAAGAATGGCTTCAAGAGGTCTGCGTTTTTATTGATGTTTCCTCTCAGCATTTGTGTAAGTGTATGTGTATGTCTGCCTGTGTGTGTGTGTGTGTATGACGGTGTGAGCACATGTAGGCACGAGGCTGCGCCTGTTTGAGTCGGCGTGTTCCTATCTTGCCTTTTAAGTAGGTTAAAATGGATCAATAGCAACCACAGGAAACACTCTCAGAAGAGCAGTGGAGTGGTATCTCTCTTTCACTCTCACCTTCTTCTCTTTCTCA